CTCCAGACAAGGCTCTCCACCCTGATGTTTCTTTCTGTTAGGCTGCTCATTTAATTTAAGAAAAAATTATTTCCAATTTTAAAGTTGTTGAACTAGACAGCCTTGTGTTTCGATTGGTACTTATTTGATACTAATTGATACTTTTGCCACACCTACATACATTTTTCAGCCTGTGAACAAGACCTTGTACAAGACCGAAAAGTCCATTTAGAGCTCACAGGAGCTGAAGATGGTTCATTCTACAGGGAGTGAAGAAAGGAATGAGGGAGGAGAGAAAGAATGCATCTCTTTCTGTATTGTTAATTGCTATATAAATCTGTAAAGCGCTCCGTGGTTAACTGATCGACTGATCGATCAATTGATGAGTGGGGACTGCTTCAGCCCAAATTCCCTGCGCTCTGGTCTTTTTTTTCTTTCGCCTGCCAGATGTCAACGCAAACAGTGACAAACGGCTTTTCCTCTGTCCGCTGCTCTTTCGAATTTTTTAACTTGCTTTGTCTCCAGGGTGTGTTAGTCTTCTTGTCTGTGTTTAAATGAAGCTGCACATGTGCATAAACATATACTGTAGATAGGTACACAAGTTACAAATGAGAAGGGGCCATTGGTTGGTTGGTTGTTTGATTTGGTGACTGGCACACAAGGATAAAAAGAATCAGTAAGGAACGAGCCAGTTGAAGGCAAGGTCTTGACTCCGTGAGTGTACTGTATAATGTCTCTCTCTGAGCTCATGGTGTCGACTTGCTCATCTCCTATAGCGTCTCGCTCCCAGTGCTGGCCTGCTCTCCTCTCCAATCCTGAGAGCCACTGTATCTGTCTCACCACCCGACAGGAAGACCCCGGAGTGTCACACACAGGCCCAGAGGCCCTTTAGCAAGGAGGCTGAATTGTTTAGTTGATTTAAGAAAAAGAACTTTGAAAGACCTTTTTTATCAAGGCTACTCTGACTCCAGTCAGGAATGCAAAGTGCAGTACGTATTGTTACAGCTTTAGGTGACTAGGAAATTCAATTCAATTCAAGGTGCTTTATTAGCATGACTGATGGGTACAATCAGTATTGCCAAAGCAAAGGAAAGTAATGATATTTACATTAAACAAAACAAAAAATAGAAGGAAAATAAAATCTACAGACATATTACAGACATTTACAACAAAGACATATTATAAAATATTGACATATACTGTAGGTGGCTGGAGCATTATATATTATAGTTCCCTCCTCCCTCTCCCAGTAGGATTGGGACCCGTTGTGATTCTGGCAGGTGTGGGAACTCTGGGATTAGATTTCTGAATTTCGGGAAGAATGTTTCTCTAATCCCAGAGTATCTGTCACAGTGCAGTAGGAAGTGCTCTCCTCTCCTCTCTGGGCAGCCAGGTCTGCCTGTGTCACCCAGTTTCTATGGCTAAGTGTCTCTCAGAGTTTAGATAAAGGGTGTAACATCAGGCAGTGTAACACTTCCAGCTTCAAAGCAGAGGGGATGTTTGCTGAGATTTGGAGGGTCCCTGATCACAGACTGTCAAATTTACCTTGGTTTACCAAGGTAATTAAGTTGTGGGTTAATGATTGTCAATGAGCAGTCCAGAAACATACCAATATGAGATCACATTAAGAGCACAGAAAAGGGAGAGGAAGGACAAAAAGAAAGGAGGAGAAGAGGGCAAGGAGAGAGGAGAGAAAGAAGAAGACCTGAAGAGAGGAGTCAGGAGGAGTTGGGACTTGAAGCTTGCGCCAGGCAAGAGCCTCTGCTTTTTGTTAATCCAGACAAAACCTGACTGGAACTTTGTATTTGAACCAGAGCATGCTGTTCAGTGTTTTTTAAGGGAGTACATGGTAACTCAGTTAGAGACATTGTGGGTGCATTTTTAGAATTGGGTGGTAGGCTCGTATTTATTTTGTGGCATTCAGGTTTGCAGAGAGAGAAATTTAACTGCAGGTTGTATTACAGTTATTTAGAAGGCAACTTATCTCTTATTGCAGCCTTTGTGGGCATTATTTTAGCATTCAATATCTGTTAACAATCTGAGGTTTTCTGGATAATTAGGATGTTAGGTCTCTGAAATGCCTTGTTTCTACATACTATAAATATAGTAAATTATGTGTTGTGTGTTTTGTTGTGTGTAGAGTCATGTTTGTCTTGTCAATGTTAATAAACATTTGTGTGCCTGGATTATTATTCTTTTCACCAAAGCTGTTGCAGAGACGAAAGAATTCATGTGTCTCTAATTATACCAACCCCTCTGGCATATTCTGGAGAAATCACTAACAAGTTGGGTGTTTTGAATATTTATTTTACTTATTAACTAAACCACTTGGTCAATTCATGATTTTCAAAATTTTTGTAACCCTATTTGTAACAGTATTCTTTAATAAAGAGGTAGTAAAGAGACACTTATAAGTGCTACTGGTTTTGTGCTAAATAGAGAACATTAGAGACAAGTTATGACAATTGCACTCTCAATGGGCTCACTGCACTGTTGAACTCTCAGTGACGTTGTAAAATATGTCTCATTTTAAGCAAGTTATTGCTGCTGCATTCATTTTTTACATTCCAAGATGTTCAGTGGACTTTGCTCTTTGCTTAGAGACAAGTCGATCAGCTTGACATGTAAATCAAACTGCTGACAAGCAGAACCACTCAGAATAACCTTAACTGGATAATAATAAAGAGTAACAGCTAGCAGGTAATAGTGGTGTTAATCCCTGCTCTGGGTTTGATTCCAGTTTGTCTGTCTGTATGGAGTTTGTGTGTGTTCCAGATTCAAGATGTGAGGGAGAAATTTGATTGGATACTCTTAACGAGGGGGTCAAGGCAAGAAAGAGATGCACTATAGGGAAATCATACTATCCACTGAGGTTTGTGACCAGTCTGATGTTCTGCTTTTTAAAGAACAAACAAAAGGAGGTCATTTGGCCCACCTGCCCCCTTTAATATGTAGTAGTTCATTGATACCAAGATCTCATTCAGCTGATTTTTGAATGAAGCTAAAGCTTCGGCTTCAGTCATATGGATGGGTGGCTTGTTCCACACTCCTACGACTCCTTGTGTAAATTAGTGCCTTCTGTTCCTGGTTTTGAATGCACTCCCACTGAATTTCTACTTGTGTTGTCTGGTTTGTATTTCACTATTTATTCTGAAGAAATCCACTGAATTAATTTAAGTAATATCTTGGAGGATTCTGAATACTATCAGGTCTCCTCACAGTCTTCTCTGTTCAAGACTAAAGAGACTCAGTTCTTTCAGCCCGTCAGTGTAGGACAGTCCCTTAAGTTCAGAAATGTATCTGTTTGCTCTTCTCTGAACTTCAAAGTAGCAACATATTTTTTGTACAGTAACCTGGTGACCAGCAACTACCTAAAATCGACATTTTGAAGCAGTGCTTCAAGTATTCATAATGCTTGCACGATCTATCAGCAGACTCTCAGGGGATGCCAGTCGTGCTTATTGATGTTCTAAGATATTCTACTGACAATTTACACCAAAGGAGGCAACTATAAATAGAGGCTAAAATTTTGTTTCCGAGCACTGAACCGTCAGTAGTCAGCACACAACGTGAGTTATTCAAGCATCTTACAGGCTGTGGGGATCTGATAAACAGTAACAAAGCAGCACATAGCACATACTGTAGGACTGTCCAGACAGATATGCAGCTGAAGAGCGAAGCCACAGTGCAGCACAGGTGTGAGAAGATTATGATAGTTCCAGCAAAAAGGGAATGAACTCGTGATGTGATTTGATTAGGTTTATTTTTTGCTCTGTTGCACAAATGCAAATTTATTCAGCAGATTAACTTTTTTTTTCCCTCCAGAAGAATTTGTAAGAATGAAAAAATGATGGTGTTTCACAGCCTCAGCTGGGCGCAGTTTTAAGTGAAATTTGGAGGACACAATTAATTTTTCAGGTCCAAAAGCAATCTGATCTCCCCTCACTTGTTCTTTGCGTCTAGACCCAGAGCTTAATTTCTCTGACTGTTGAGTATTTGTGTTATCTACTGCAGTGTTAGAGAAATTGAATTAACCAGGGAGGATTTCTAATAATGCAAAAGGAAGTTAGTTTGCATCCTGCTGACCCAAGCTGGTTGCATGGCATTACAGTGAAGAAAAAAGCTCCTACTGTTTCACCATCTGCTGACGCCACTGCTGGGAAGGCAGGAATGTTATGCTGTAGCTTTAAACCCAAATTTCAATTCCTAATGTCCTGACTGACAGTCTGCAAAGGAAACCTCCTCTGTGATTCTCTTTATATATGTTGCCATGTAGATCAATCTGATACTCTGGCTTCTTTCAAGAAATTGCTGGGTAAGACCCTCCAGTTAGGACAGGAGGCACCTCTTTACACAAAGAGTTGTGAGTGTGTGGAATAAGCTGTCCCAGCCATGTCATGAAGTGAAAACCCAGGCTTCTGTCAACACAAACTTGAGCTTGATGGGATCCTTAGATTAACTATTTAATAGCAGCAAAAGGTAAATAGACCCCCTTGTTTTGTAATCTGGCTTGTGCTCCTACAGTGCATGTTTATGCATATGGTATGTGCACAGCAGCTTTCGTTAAAAAAAAAAACAAACATCTGTGACATCCTGGAAATGCCACGCAAGTTGAAATATTTGTGAAAAATCCGCAGATAGAGGATAGAGGAGAAGCCGTTTTTCAATGTCAGTTTTTTTTTTCCATTGACATCTGGCAAGCAAAAGAAGAAAACAGATCAATCCATCAAAGCCTCATCTGTGGTATTTACAGTAAGTCCTCTGCCTTGTGTGAGCCCCTTCCCCAGAGCAGCAGGGCTCCAGGCTTCACTGGGGTAATCACGTCTCTTTGTGTATTGAACGTCATTACAGACCACTTTTCGTTTTAAGCACACCACATGAATTCCCTCATATCATCAGGATATGTAAATTTGCAGTTTCACGGTTCTCTGTCTTTCTCTTGCATTCTTGCAACAGAAAGTGAGATTCAAGCGAGTAAAGGCAAAAAGGGAAGTATTGGATTCTTTCTTTTTTTTCCACAGCTCAGCGCTGTCCTGCTGCTTTTGACGTGCTGAAGTGCAGACAGGGCGTAGCAGGACCCAGGGTGCAAGGGGGCCCTATGGCAGAAAACTGCATGATATAGGTAAGTGGGGCAAAAGCCTTTTGGAATATAGTTCATTTTCTAGATAGGTTTGGCGAAAATTGCTGCTATCCCAAAGAAGAGCTACATGCGAGCAGTTAGTTGTAAGACTTTAATGTCAGAGTCCTCTGGACTTGCTCAGTTCTCACTACAGCAATCCACCGTGCTGTCAGAAGAGACACAGAAAAAACCTAAAATGTTTGTTTATCTTGTCACGTCCCTGGGCTGTCCAGCCAATCACCAGCCTCTCTGTACACAAGAATGCCAAAACTTGTCCTCCCTCCTCTGCGAAAATATCAACTCTGAAGGCCGCTGCTCGTGAGAATATTGGTGTATAAAAATTTCAGCTCTAGAGAAAGCGGTATTGTTTAGCAACACTATCAGAAAGCAAGTGGCGAGAGAAAAGTGATTGTTCCTCCAAGGCCCTGGCAATCACAGGAAGAAAAATTTCAATTGAACTATTTCCAATCCTTCCCACACTGGCCAATACAGCTTTAAGTCAAATGTAAAGAATTAGGGGAGCTCCAGAACCAATTTTCTTGTCAGATATTGGCAGGCAATAATCACCTAACAGTACAGACTGATTGTGATGCCGATACTGGTGTTTAATTTTAAGGAAGTGTAGGGGTGCAATGAAGGTTTGAGGTGAGTTATAAGTTGTGATGAAAAAGCCTGTTTCTGGAGAATATAGGAAGAAGACACACACAAGCTGCACCCCCCACAGGGCATCAAATTCCAGCAGTGTCACAGAGGGTTTTATAGTCTGAGCACAGCCATGGCCAGCCTGTGTTATTACCATGAATGGGTATTTATGAGTTATCATTACCAATTGCATTGGAATCATAGACAATGCTTCCATTAAGGCCTGGTGGCTATTCCTGCAAATGTTATCCCCCTCACCCCCCACCCCCCTTCAGTTATTCCAGAGATATTGGGTTCAACAGCAGGTGTCTGTTTAAAATGCACTCAAGTCAGGTTAGGAGTAAAAGTCCCAGGTCAGGTCAGGTCCTATTTCTACAGAAGTACTTAAAACTACTAATATAAAGTAAAATGAAATGAGGGCAGGGCAGTTCAGTTGGAGTCTAGTTGGTGTTTCTGCCTCACAGCTACTGGGCAGAGGTCCCAGGTTCAATTCCAGACTAGTGTGCCTTCTGTGTGGAGTCTGCACATAACACGAAGAAGCTGCTCAGTGCTGTGCGGGAGGAAGGATGATCACAACAGCTCTGGGTATTTGAAGGGTGTTGACAATTGCTGTATTCATGGGACTGGGGCCCAGCTCCTTGAGTGGGAGAGCTTAACACTTATCTAAGGAATCAAGGGACCTGTAAACCTAGTGCAACAACAGCTGGCAACATGGCTGGGCAACGTGTTCTCCCACAACCCTTAGTGTAAAGAAATGTCTCCTGTTCTCAGTTTTAAATGTACGTCTTCTGGTTCGTATTTCACTGTTCCTTCTAAAGTCTTTAGAACGTGGCTGACAGTATCAGTGTTTTTGAGGATTTTGAATACTCGTATCAGGTCCTTTCGTATTCCTCTCTATTCAAGACTAAAGAGACTCAGTTCCTTCAGTCTGTCAGTGTAGGACAGTCCCTGTAACGAACAGTTCTTTCCGGACCCTCTGCGGACGACACAATCCGAAGAAGTGGGGAAACACTAGGAAAACGTCATGCAGGAATATGGGGCTGAAAACAGGGGGGCGTGTCCAAAGTGCCCTGGTGCACGGGGGAGGTGTGGCCGAGGCAAACAATCCAAAAGTAATGCATTGAGAGAATCCAAAACACAAAAATAAGTCCATAGCCAGGTGATCCATCCAAACAAGGAATTAAAACCATGAACCGGGTCGGAACCTGTGGACAGGGAACGGGAACAGAGATTAAAACCTTAACGGGACCAGGCGCTTCCAGGTCCCGGACTCACACGGTGCGGAAACCAGATGCAGAGCCAGGTTGCACAGATCAGGTGCACAGAATTAAGTCTAAAGTGAAGGGCTGGAGCACCCTTAAGGAGGAGGGACTATAATCGTGACAGTCCCTTAATACTTGTATCAGTCTCCTCACAGTCTTCTCTGTTCAAGACTACAAAGGTTCCTTCCCTTTAAACTGTCAGAGTAGAGCATTCTTCTGAGACTAAGAATGTACTGTACCTACAGTAGTTGTTCTTCTCTGCAGTTGTTACCATCATAAATAGTGTTCCCACTAGCTCTGAAACAACACTCCTGTGTGGCTCATGTCTTCTAAAACCTAGCATCTACAGTTTTGAAAAGAAGGTGAGTGAATTCCACATATTAAATCATATTGACTGTATACTTTACATATAATAATAATAATAATAATAATAATTGCTTACACTTATATAGCGCTTTTCTGGACAGCCCACTCAAAGTGCTTTACAGGTAATGGGGACTCCCCTCCACCACCACCAATATGGAAGACCTCTTTTCATTCAGACTGTACCTATGGTAATGACTGTGCGTTTGTAACAGATGCTGTGTGTGTCAGTTTGTTATTTTGTTCTCTCTATACGTATATACAGTACATATACTGTATACAGTCTAGCTGTTAAATCTGAGAAAGTTTCATGCCACAGTGTCCATTTCAAACCAATACGTAATGCTTCCTACTGAATTACAGTAAAACTGATAACTGCATATTGGATTGCTCTTAGAGGGCTCACCGATTTATTTTCAAAATCCGATCGAAAATGGACAAAATTAGTTATTGCATCAATGTGGATCAATAAATCAGATTGTTTTTCTGTTCCATAGATTTATCCATAAATAAGTCTCTTTTATTCCGCCAGATGTGCTTACTGCTAACACGAGTGCATTTAATTTTCACGGAAAAGGGGAGAGGAGTTAAAGCTGTGACATACAGTATATCTTCTCTATAAATATTAATGTCAACACTCAACGCAACCAAATCTTCATACTTCACACAGGTTCATTGAATTTTCAAGCACTCCTCTATTGTAGATTTGCAGTAGCAAAACTGCTTTACCTCTCTCTTTATGCTTTTATACTGTAATTATATTCCCCACATTTTTCAACCTACAAGTAGGCATGAACTCAAATTCACAGTGGAGTGTAATGTAAAGTGCAGCTATGTGCCCATGCATTCTTTTTGGAGTTTTTCAGGAAATTCAAAATGAATTAATTAAAAGTGGAATTTAGATTTGTTCAAGGTTTTACTGTGTCGGTTTGTTGAGCTTTTAGTTTCCTAACTTTGTGAGGTACAATTCAGAGTATTCCACTATTATACAGCACTTTGAGTTGCATGAAAATCACACATACTGTATACATGTAAAATTATTTCTGGAGTACAATTACTGTTGTGCACTTGCATTTCATATGACATGGAAATTTAAAGCCATTTTCAAGTAAGAGAACTCATATTAGCTCAAATCAAAGTTTTATAATCAAAGGAGCTCGGTGACTATTTGCCTACAGTACATACAGTAGTTACAGTAGTTCTGATTAAAATAATGCATTGAACGTTTTACAACTAAAAATAACAAGAAATAGCTTTAACCAGGTAGACTTGCCATCATTTTGCAAAATATCTTTTGTCCCTAAAAGAATTTTAGGCACCAGTGCTGTGTGTCTAATCTTAGAAAACAATGATTCTCTCTCTCTCTTGGGAAGACAGTGATTGATGTTGTGGCAACTCTGCTGGCATTATCTCAGTCATACCACTTCCATTTGCTAAACCTAGGATTCTCAGTTACATTTTGAAGAGTGTTTCTAAATAGAGACACAGACTTATTATAATTATAATTATAATAGTGATTATAATGTGCATGTGCACCTAGGGGCATATAGCACCCTGCAGCTCTCAATTGGCAGCCCACTGAAGCTCAACCAGGTTGATCCTGGTCAGTACCTGGATGGGAGACCTCCTGGGAAGCTATGGTTGCTGCTGGAAGTGGTGTTAGTGAGACCAGCGAGGGGGCGCTCACCCTGCGGTCTGTGTGGGTCTTAATGCCCCCGTATAGGGATCTTTTGGATATCTTTTGGATGAAATGTTAAACCGATGTTAAACCAGGGTCTATCTCAGTGGTCATTAAATTCCCCAGGCGTTTCTTGATAAGATTAGGGAGTTATCCCGATGTCCGGTCCAAATTTCCCCCCTCGGCCTTTACCGTGGCCCCATGTATGATTGGCTTGCACTTGCCCTGCGATAGACTGGTGCCCCACCCAGGGTGTACCCTGCCTTGCGCTTGTTGCTTGCCAGGTAGGCTCCAGCTTCCCGCGACACCGTATGGTATAAAGTGGTTTGGTAAATGACGTGACATAAGGGCATCAAAGTGGATAAGCCAGGAAATGTTTCTTATTCACACTACAGCTTGGTTCCTATAATGTGATAATGTTTTCTTTATTAGCCCTACACAATTTCTTGCATTAGGAATGTGTCTTTTCGCATACCCCAGCTTTTCTCTATGGAGACACAGACACAGAGACAGGGAGAGAAGCTTGGGGTCAGAGCGCAGGGTCTGCGTTGGGCCCCTGGAGCAGTTAGGGTTAAGGGCCTTGCTCAGGGGCCCAACGGAGTAGGATTCCTCTGCTGGCCGCGGGATTTGAACCGGCAACCTTCCGGTCACAGGCGCAGATCCTTAACCACAGAGCCACCGCTCTGCCCTATAGTCCAGACATCAGCAGTCTGAGACTAGGCTTTGCCATTAGCTGATGTTCACTATTTTGATGTATTTTGATTGAACTGCAGGGGATGGGTGAGCTGTAGTTACAAGTGAGAGGAGGCTGTTTAGCCCCATCTGGCCTGTTTGGTACAGTAGTTAGCACCTAATTGATCCAAGCATTTCATCCAAATGATCTAATGATTAAAGGAAGTCAGTAGTGCTTTCAACAACATGATTGGGCAGCTGGTTCCACTCTCCCATAACACCTATTGATCTCATTTTCAAATGTACTTCTACTTGTGTCCTTTGGGTTGTTTTGCACTGGTGATTCTAAAGTTAACTGAGTGGACTTTATTGCCTGGTTACAGTAG